CCAACAGGTGGCACTATTGACCTGAATATAACTGATGGGGTGTTGTAGGCTATACTTGTTACGTATCCGGTCCATGAACTTCCGTCTGCTAGCCATCAGAGGTCACCCTTTCCATTTTCATTGACTCTCGCACTACACACTGTTGCATATCACCCCGGACTACATATCCCATCATTCATTGCTCTGATTGCACACAGCACTGATTGCACACAGCTGTTTCACTGATTGCACACAGCACTGATTGCACACAGCTGTTTCACTGATTGCACACAGCACTGATTGCACACAGCTGTTTCATATCACTCACTCACTATTTAACACTCACTCTGATCCCTTCCCGGTGCCGAGTATTGTTTAGCGCTTATCATTTGATAGCTACACTACAAAGCCCTTGTTAGTTTACCCTGCCTTAGCCTAGTCTTGCCTTGTCTGTTTTCTCGGTTTCTGATCCTTGCCTGGTTTCCTGGATTTATCCCTTTAGTCTCGCCCTTTTGATTCTGTTCGCCGTTCGTTGACCTTCGCTAGCCCTAGGATTATTCTTGTGTCTTGTCCTCCATATTCCTGTTTGCCGTTGTCTGACCCATGCCTGTTTCTGACCACGCCTGTGAATAAAGCTTGCACATGGATCCGTACGTCTCACGTCTCGTCAGCCACGTTACAGAGCTTCTGGTGACATGGACACTACACAACTCTGCACTAATGCTCATCAGCTGAGCATATGCTCTGTCAATATGCTGACTGGCTGACTGCTTTCCCTGCCATTACCAACACTGATCCCCAAAATGTGATCTTGTCTGTCTATTATAAAATGAACAAAGTTATCTGGAAACAGATAAATCATGCAAAACTAGAAAACTGCATTAATATAAGGAGGCACACAAACACTCGGAGAGACACTGTCCATCCTACACGTTTGACAACACAGTGCATAACTGCATACTACCGCACTGATTGTTCTTCAGTAAAGATGACTGAAGGCCAGAGAGCAGAGCTGTGATGGACAAGCTATCAGTCCAGTGCACATCGCCAGCTATCATTCACTACATAACATGGTGAAACAAACTACTCTGTAAATCTCATCATGTAATGTCTCATACACTCCCACCCCACACACAATCTGACTAAATATGTGTTATTATCAAGCAGAGCTATTCAGAAAAGTGGTGTTTAGACCACAAGACTCAGGTGTGCATTGTATTTTGTTCTCATTGTGCTAAACAAACAAACAATGCTGTTAAAAGTGCATTAATAAAGATGATTTACACAGAAAACAAATATCATTATAAAATATAATAATAATAATAATAATAATAATATAAATCATAATAATAATTTATAAAAGTATTTTAAAAGAATTTAATTCACCACATATTAAATTATTATTATTATTATAAAACAAAAAAAATTAAATGTGTTAAACAAAAATAATATAAAACAAAACTACTACAACTCCTACTAATAGTAACTGCGATTCAAAAATACTAAATACATTTCAAATAAATGCTTTACATAGAAAAATATAATAATAATAATAATATCAAAATATTTAATTTACTACAAATTAAAATGAAATGCTTTATGCACAAAACATCATAAAGCAAATAATATTAATGAATATGATGATGATAATAATAATAATTATTAAATATATACTAAATAGTTTATAAATTAAAATGAAATGCTTTACGCAAAAAATATTATAAAACAATACTACTACAATTCCTATTAATAATAATTACAATTTAAAATGACTAATTAAATTTAAATTAAATGCTTTACACACAAAAATATCATTATAAAATAATAGTAATAATAATAATATAAAAATATTGAATTTACTACAAATTAAAATGAAATGCTTTATGCACAAAATATCATAAAGCAAATAATAATGATAATAATAATAATAATAATGATGATGATAATTTATAAAAGTTTTTTTAAAGTATTTAATTTACTACATATTAAATGCATCTCGTCAGTAAAACCGGTTTACTGGCGATTATGAACGCGATTTTGTGTAGCTTGTCAGTGAAATATGGCTCTGTGTAGTAAATGCTGCTCCATCTGAAAGCACTGATGGAGATTTACTACTAATCACAGAACCGGCTTTACTGACGAGATGCACATGACAATCGCATGCAATTAATTGCACAGCCCTAATTTAAAAAGTATTCAATTAAATTACTGTACTGTAATTATTTTATATTGTCACTTAAAATATAAGTAAAATAAAAACAAAATGTAATCATTAATGTTGATTTGACATGACACATATGGTTTTGTTCTTTTATTTATTTACTCATTTTGTTTGATACTAACAGAGAGAAATAAAATGAGATGTTCAAGACATGGCATTTTGCGTGTTGATTCTAGTAAACTACTTTGTCTCTATACATCCATTGAGGCTGAACATGCCTACTCTGCCCTCACCTGCACTGGCTGAGAGTGAGTTTCGGTTCATGCCTAATTTCACATAGATGGCATAGAGTCAAAAATGTAGTGGGAGAGAAGCCCAGAGGACGAGTCCACAATAAGAGCAGAGGCTTTATCCAAAGTCAGATTAGCAGTAAGAACATGCACAGCAGCCTTTACTGACCTGCATGCTCATTAATAGATTAGCATCAGCGCCCAGCGCCACAGCCACACTGCAAATTGTTATTGCTGACTGTAATCAGAAAATGGGTCGCAGGAGTGCCAGAGGATAGTGGCAAAGACTGGCAGAGCATATAAGAGCAAATGAATGAGAGAGAAGGCAAATGATCGCGAGCTGCAGGAATGAAGACGAAGAGGCTTGAAGTGCAGTGTGAGAGAGAAAGAGTAGGAAAATCCTTCGGTCAGCATTATGACATTATAAATACTGTTCAAAGGTTTGAGGTTGGTAAGATTTTTTTTTATATTTCTGAAAGTCTCTTATGCTTACCCAGGCTGCATTTATTTAATCACAAATATAGTAAAAATTGTGAAATATGATTTAAAATAGCTGTTATATATTTAATTATATATTTTAAAACGTAATTTATTCCTGTGATGAAAAAGCTGAATTTTCAGCAGCCATTACTTAGTGTCACATGATCCTTAAGAAATCATTCTAATATGCTGATTTGGCGCTTAAACGTCTTATTATCAATGTTAAAAATTGTTTTTTGAGACATTAGTAGTAGTATATTTTTATTTAATGCCAGGGCAGCATCTTAGGCTATTTTCATGGCAAAAACTATTAAAAAAATTAAAGTATAACAAATACAATAAAAGCCAGCAAACAAACAAAACACATATTACACGATTTTTTACATTAACATATGATAAAAATTCTAAAACTTTTTCTGGCAAAATTATACTAAATAACTTTTTAAGTGAGTTTTTTGAGACATTATAAATGTCTTTAACGGCACTTTTGGTCGACTGAATGTGTTGTTGCTGCAGAAAAGTATTGATTTAATAATAATAATTATAACAATAATAATAATTGTATACTGACCCCAAACTTTTTAACAAGCGTACATGTTTCCGATTATATACTCCATTACCATATATGCTAGATAAATATGCTTAACATATTTTTTTCAGATACATAACCAATTCAGAGATCTTTACTTGAGAACAGATTTGAAAAACCCTTCTATTCCCAATACATTTACTTTACTTCCTACATTTTAACCTTTAACCATTTCTTCTGCAGACTCCATAAACAGCTTGTCAATTTAAATCTCTTAAACCGCTAATTAGAAGAGTGCACATGAAACTATTAGCGAGATAATCTTAAACCGCCCACCCCGTTAACCAGGAAAATTGTGCATAAATGTGTTCATACTTCCTTAACTTGTTTCTCTAAGAATTGTGATTCAACTATTTCCTTTCTATAGAACCCTTTTGCATTGTTATGATTTTATTTAGCACTAATTAGTTATGAAGTCCAGCTGTTAGCCCACACATACACACAGAAAGTGAGCAAATGTAACACTAATTCTCCTGAAATCAAGCCATTACATCATAAACCATGTTCTGGGGTGGTATTGCAGTCGAGCAACTGGGCAAACCGCCAAAAATAAGCGGGTTTAAACCGAGAGCAGTGGAGAGTGGGCGCGCATCAGCCACGGAGGGGCTATTAAGGTCGCAATCCTATTCTACCATCAGTTTACCTGGTTATCAAGACACTTGACCCTCATTTGTTCCGGTAAGAAGTATCAGTACAGTTGGATAAAATTAAATGTTTTTATTCAAGGTTTTAGATAACCTTCTATCACCCCACAAGTCCTTATAAGCATCTATACTCTGCAACACAAGCCCGCACACACACACACACACACACACTCAGACGATCTCTCTGTACCTGGTGTGTTGAGTAGGCGTGACATTCGGCAGGCATAGGCTACGTGCTGCTCGCAGTGTTCAGCACTGTTGGTTATAGCTGTGACCTGCTCCATAGAGGCACTGTAGTTCAGCTGCAGTACTGTCCGTCTCTCCCGGCTGGAGCCAGTCACTGCTGTCTGCGCCGGCAGGTTATTCACCACAGTCGTCCAAACCTTGTCCTCTGAAACAGATACAATAATGGTCATAAAAAGGTAAACTGACTGGCATTGCAAGAAAAGTTGACAGATTCATTAAAATATACGTATGTTAATACTGTAACATAAGCATATGCTCTTCATGTTTACAGAGATATAAAAAGAAATTACACTACTGTTCAAAAATATATATTTGAAAAGAACAATTAAAAATAATATATGTTAAAATGTAATTTATTCCTGTGATGCAAAGCTGAATTTTCAGCATCATTACTTCAGTGTCACATGATCCTTCATAAATTATTCTAATATGCTGATTTGGTGCTTAAGAAACATTTCTTATTATTATAAATGTTTTCTCAGGATTTTTACTTTTTTGGTAAATTTTAATGCATCCTTGCTGAATAAAAGTATTAATGTCTTTTTAAAAATGACTGACCCCTAACATCTGAACAGTAGAGTATACCTAATATTTAATTATTATATAATTGATTATATAATATTATTCATAATGAATAATCACCCCAGAATTTTACCCAACTAAAAGGGCAAAATACATACTACAGTAAAGCATTTTTTTTAAATAAGAAAAGTTTGAAAAAGTTCTTAGCTTTTTAATTGACATATGAAATCAAGAAGATATTTTCTCATTAAAGTAACAAGTAAATAAGTAATTACAAACTGATTTAACACATTCTGGATCCATTATGGCAATATTTCCTTCCACTTATTCAAGTTTTATTTAATGGGATCTAATAAATACTGACGTTCTAAAAAACATTTTTTTTTTGTTTTGTTTATATTATTCAAATCCACCGGATCCTGTAGCCATAATCTTTTCTTCCCACCTCAAAGAATCACAATATTTACCCTAAAAAAATGTTAAATGAACATTACATAGTTCTGAAATTGACAGACACTTTCTTTTCTGGATGATTTTTGCTCTCTACCGTGTCCTCTCAGGGATTTCCTATGCTCTGAGATGCCTACAGTTCCTGCCCTGAAATTATAACATTTTATGTCCAGATGTTCCTACATACTTGAATGTCCCTACATGTAAGACTTCCATTTAATTTTATTTATTTCTTTTCGGATCAGTGGGATGATGTGGACCTAGACTGATAAAAGAATGCTCATGAGGCTTGAAAACAAATGGGTTGAGAAGCTGAAATGAAAGATTGTCACTGGAGGCGATAGGAGGGATTTTAAAAACCCTGGGATACAGGGGTTCTCGAAAGCATGTAATACTCAGTAAAAGGCTTGATTTATTAATCATGCACAATCGATGGGCTTTTTGGATTCAGTGCTATGGTACGCCACAAATAAATAAAAAATGCACATTTTACCTGTCATGTTGCAGATGACTTTAAAAGGACCTAATGGTCCGCTTCCATCTGGGTCAATCCAGTAGGAATCAGATGATCTTCCCAAATGCTTGTAAGCTTCACAGGACTGCTCATAGACAGCTGTAGGTAAGAAATAAAAGATGTTAAGTTAAATAGAAAGTATTTAGTTAATAAATGTCGAATAACAGAAGCAGCATCTTTGCTAACGCAATATTATGGAGTACAGTAAATATATATATATATATATATATTTATTGTGCCTGTCCAAATACGAAAACAAGGTCGCACTGGTCAATAGCATATACACAATATGTTTTCTAGCTTGACTATTGACCAGTACAACCTTGTTTTTGTCTGTGGAGAGGTTTGAGGGAAGTAACTCAACAGAGTTCAACATCTTTTCCATTGACTTATGTGTAACTGCTGCCGCCGTGTAACTTCCAGTCTCTTCTCCTCTCCATCTAACCCCTGGGGTCTTAAAAAGTTTCACTCAGTAGTGATTCTGAACTATTTCTCTGAGAACAGTCTTCATAGAGAATACAACAGACGTTTTCATATCAATCAATAGCTCTGTTTCAAAACCTAGCAAGTGTCTGAAGGAGTCGTAGGTGCCACTCCAGATGTGAAGGTCATTTCGAAAGGTAGTAAACTTCTTGTATATAAGAATATCTTGTTTTGGCCAAATTTAAGAGCAGTATCACATCATTCAGAGAAGGAAATTCCAGAATGCATTGTAATGAACTGTTGCAATGAAAATGTAATCAAATATGATGGTTGTGGGGAGAGAATTGGAGAGAATTGCAGTTTCATTCAAAATGGAAAAGTATCAATAAAAACATTTCAGAGAAATTAAAATGCATCAAACTGCTGAAATCAATGCTGATTAAAATTTCCCATGCTTCCATTTCAGTTGTTATGTCAAAGTATCATTTAAACCTGGTAACAAACAGAACATTTTAGAATTTCGTGTTTAAGCTGCTCCGAAAACAGTCGAAACAAGAATCTGTCTACGTCATTAACACCTTATTCATGGATAAAAGCAAATACAGGGAAAGCAAATACTGTTACGCAGAACCCTGACATTTCTCAGAAAGGTCTTCTACATATTAGTTAAACAGAATTGCGTTTTTCACAGTTTCCCATTCTCGTTTTTCCCCATTCCCCCTCATTACACATAAAACAAAGCTTTTCTTTGTTCTCCACCATTTCTGTGGCAATGCATTTATGTCACAAAAAATCCTTCATTTCTAGGAAAGCGTGATATTTAATCAGAATAAATAACCAGCAATATGCCACATGCATATATGCACACACAACCATTAAGAATAAAATAAAATAAAATGAATTAATAAAATAAAATACACCCAAACACACATTCTTACATGTGTGACAGGTGGCTCCGGTGTATCCCGTCCCATCACAGGTGCATGTGAAACCATCCCAGGTCTGGCTGCATCGCCCTCCATGTTCACATTGGTTTGGCATACATCTGAAAAAAAGCAGAATTACACATTTAAATACATGTGTGGTAAATGAAAAACGTGCCAGAAAAAAGTGCCTAATATCTCTGATCATTTCAATACTTTTCGCTCTGATTTTACGTTCATAGTTTTAAAAATGTATCTCAAGACCTCTATGTTCCCATCCGCTGTGCTGCTTTAAATAGAAGAACAATTTGACCAATTTTGTGCACTTTTTTTCTGAGTGGCAACAGCTTTTATAACACAGTTGATACAGGCACTTAATGAAATACATTACTGAGTGTCAGCTCAGTTAAAAACACTGAGAATGTGTTGAAGAGGATGACAATGAGTCATTTACTTCATCAAAGTCTTACAATGTTAAAAAATTAATTAACTAATTAATTAACAGTTGAAACACTTTTATGTTCCCCTTTTATGTAACACTTATGTTTATTTTGATTTTCAATACACAGATGAATTAAAAAACGACAAACGTAAAAAAGAAAAACAATGAAATGAACACTCCAGAGGTAAAACAGTTACCATCCACAGTCAAACAGTGTTATTTTAGTAATATTTATATAGTATTATAGCATTTATTTATATTTTGAATTAGATTTTATTTTTTAGATTTTTATAATTTTATTTTGTTATGTGCTTGTTTACTTTTTTATATTTTATGTAGCATTTTATTTCAGCTTTATTTCATAAACACAGATCAACAGATACAGATCAATTTGAGAGCAATTTGAACATTAAAGTAAAAATAAATAAATACATAAAATAATTAAAAAACATACAAATACAAATATCAGACACAATTATACAGTAGTTAAACTACTGTACATTGCGAGTGCATTAATCATAATATATCAAGTTTGCATATTCAGGAAAAGTACTGAATGTGAAATAACATACTTCAAATTTCACCAAAAATATTGTTCTGTACTTTGAGAAGATGTTGAAAACATCAACTGTGCTGAACGTGAGCCATCCACTTCCACAGCTCCTCATACAGTCCTGCCAACTGCACGTCAAATCCATTAACACGGCAAAATGCGGTATGAAATAAAATTAGGGAACAATCCCTTTGGAGCTAATACTCATTAGGCCGATGTCTCATAGGAGGAGCTGTGACAATGCCATTGACAATGAACCTTAAGTCTGACAAGTTCTTCGTTACTGCTATTGTCGTACTTTTTCAGAGCTTCGGTGCTGTCAAACTGTAGATTTTGTATAGGATGGCATGTCTCGATTAATTGGGTTACCTCAATGGCCATCTGTGCCTGGAGGAGAAAGGTACAGATAGAGTTTAGACTGTTCATTAATCAAACTCCAGCAACAGAACTGTCCCTGGAAATTTGATGCCACTGATGACTCAGTCCAATAATAAAAATTAAGTCAGAGTCAACAGCAACATGTCACTGGGAGATAAGACCTTGGTAATAGCTTCTCAGTAATAGATTCGAAAAGAACCTTGGTAATAGCTCAGCTCTCGCGAGCCAGAAAGTTACAAATTTCACTGTTGTTCCTGGCCAAGCAGAGAGCCGGAGATTGCAGAGCAGTGAGCCTGAACAAGCATTTCCTGTTGCATGGTCACTTAGCTTCCAAGAGATTTCCATCACAATTTTCCAAAGAAAGATAAAGAGCACGAAAGAAAATGTGTGGATATTTGTGTCTAGGCAATGTCTTGGTATGAAAACTATTCTACTAAAACATTTTTCTTATATGTGATGTTGGAAAGTCTCATTTTTTCTAGCAAACTGATTAATCTCAAATATTCCTCTCTCACATGTAGCATTGGAAAATTTGATTCATTTGAGTGAATCGATTCATAAATGCTCTCTCATATGCAACAGCGGAATTCAATCTGATTCATTCTAATAAAGTGATTCTTCCCAAACATTCCACTTAGATGTAAAAATTGAGAATTTGATTAGAGTGAATTGCTTCCATAAACATTTTCTCTCATTTACAAAAGTGAAAAGTCTGATTCATTCTATCAAATAGACACAATTTTCTTTCACATGTACTGTAGGCACTGGAAAATTTGATTCATTTGAGCAAATCGCTTCACAAATATTCTCTCAAATACGCAAGAGTGTAAAGTCTGATTCATTCTAGTAAAGTGACTCATCAAACATTCCGCTCTCCTAAGTAGTATTGGGAAATTTGATTTATTTGAGTGAATCGTTTTATAAAAATTCTCTCTAATACACAAGTGGCAAATCTGATTCATTCTAATAAAGGGATCCTTCCCAAACATTCTTCTCTTATAAAATGGAGAATTTGATTTATTTGAGAGAATTGCTTTTTAAAACATTCTCAAATGCAAAAGCGAAAAGTCTGATTCATTCTATTAAAATGACACATCTCAAACAATTCTCTCTCACATGTCGAACTGGAAAATTTGATTCATTTGAGCAAACCGCTTCATAAACATTCTCTCAAATACGCAAGAGTGTAAAGTCTGATTCATTATAGTAAAGTGATTCATCAAACATTTTGCTCACATGGAATATTGGAAAATACGATTCATTTGAGTTAATCGTTTCATAAACATTCTCTCTAATACACAAGTGGTTAGTCTGATTCATTCTACTAAACTCATTCACTGAAAAATTGGATTCTTTTGAATTTTCTCTTATATGCCAGTGTGGAAAGTCTGGTCCATTCTAGTGAATCAGTTAATTTGTAAAGTTCATATAAACACTATTTATAATACACACTACTTTTAATATTGAATTTAGTATAAATGTAACCTATTCACGTTGAATGCAGTCACCCTACATTCTATATTCTTTCTTTACTAGATTCTTTCGAAAACTCTCTTTGAAAAACCCAGAAGAAAACAGCTCTGATTAAATTAAAAATGACATTACCAGATAGTTACTTAGCTGCACTCTCAAGTAGCTTAAATTTAGCTACTTTTCAAAAGAGTTTCTTGACTTTTGCAAAAGAGTATCTTGACTACTGTTCAACAACCTTAACAAATTACAGTTTCAAAGCAGCTTCCCCAACCCTGGAGACCAGAGCATCGTTTTTCCCTGCTCTGGCTGTTTACATCCCTAGCTGTGCTTTTGTAATGGAAAGTGACAGTTTTCTAATGCAACCATTATGAACAGAGAAAGCACGTGACTTTAAATGCCTCTGTCAGATTAGACTTGTTGGGGTGAGACACCAATCTGCATCTCCTCAGAGATGGGCGCAGATTAGCCGGTAGCCCCTCTCGTCCCGTCTCACCCCCCACTCGACACGCCATTACGTCAAACGTTTTGCACAGCTATTTAGGATGAGTCACATTCTAAGAAGGCCTCCAGAAGTTCGGCAGAACAGCTTATGCGTGAAATAGCTTGATGTGAGGGAAATTGATGTGTGTGAAATACTGCAGGGGTGAGAAAAAGAGAAAAAAAAATCTCCTGTAGAAGGAGAGGATGTGATTTGAGCTGTATCTAACTGCAAGGTCGTGTGTTTTAGTGTCTTCCTGGTGGGAGGACATGGAATATTCTTTTACATGTCAAACACAGGGACACGTTTGGTAAAGGAGATTGATAGTGCATCACCTGGCCTGATGAAAGCGAACATAAAATCAATGGCGTGGCGAGCGGTAGCCCCCCTTCCGATCCCATATAATGAGTTTGCTCCTCACTGTGCTGGCACTATGGAGCTTTGCCAGAGAAGCATCATTACGCTGACGGAAAAACACACAGGGAGAGCGTTCAACAGTCTCTTGCCTCCTCTATTATTACAGTTCACTCCGTTCGGAGGGAGAGCGAGCGATTCGGTATCTAGCCTGATCTAATAAAGGAAAAGATTTTCCTCTGGGGACTTACAACTAACTGTATTGCAGTATAAACCGTAACCTCAAAAACATAAATAAACAGGAAGTTCATCTGAAACATCATCGAAATATTGTCAGTGAGAGGGATATGAATTTAAAATGGCAGAAAGACATGCAGAATGAACTGAGCTTGTCTTTAAATCATGTTGAGAATGTACTCAGCCCTGAGGTATAAGGCTAATGAGACGCATTAAAGAACAATGCATCTTTACATACAATTAAAGTGGAGCTTAAGCTTCGAACTGAGCTGTAAGAAATCTAATGGAATATAAACAATGCCTCAATATGCGGGTCTTTATCAGTGAGGAGCAACGTAAATGAGCTGCAAACATAAATGTATAAATGAGCAAAAGAACACAAAGAAAGCAAATAGTTATTTATTAATTATCTATTCTTTGCACTTAACGTAGGAGGCCGTTAATGTCAAGTCAAGTGCTGTTTAACCTGAAATTTTCTAAGCACAATAGGCAATTTCAAACTCATTAGAAAACGCTGATATTTTGAGCTAGCAATTTTGTGTGAACTAGATTCATACAGAATGTGATCCATACAGAATATATATATATGCAGTAGACAGATGTTTTTGACCACTGCATCTTTCGTAGCACATCATCGAAATGAAGAGTTCAACTTTTTTTTTTTTTATGTACGGTGGACGAGACAGCTCAACGCGCTGAGAAAACATCTAAGAAAATCAAAAATTAAGAAAATATCTCCATCAGTTTGACAACACACGTGCTGCAAATACTCACAACGCGACAAAATACAGGAACGCGCTGCCAATACTCACAGGCCACATCGCCAAATGTTTAAGGGAACCGCAACAAGTGACAAACGGACATGCTTATCAAAGTCTACTCTGAAAGGTGAGATTTTTTTTTATTTAACACCCTGATCGTATGATTCCTTAGCTTTTTTGAATATTATTAGCCTAAATAAGAAATAAACAATTACTGTAACTGTGAAATGTTATGTAAGCTGACTAACTTCTACAACTTCCCTAACACAAATTAACCATGGTTTTGCTACACTTACCATAGTTTAACCATGATATCTGTAGTAAAACTGTGGTGTTTTTTTATTTATTTTATTTGGAGTAAAATCATGGTTAATTTTCGTAATTGTTCCGTTGTGGTTTGTGCTACTTGCAGCACTTTTCTGTTTCTGCAGCGCGTTTTTGTTTTTGCAGCATGTTTTTGTATTTGGTTGTGTTGTGAGTATTTTTCAAGTGAAGTGACATGTGGCCAAGTATGGTGACCCATACTCAGAATTTGTGCTCTGCTTTTAACCCATCCAAGTGCACACACACAGTAGAGCAGTAGTATTTACAACACGTGCTGTCAAAGTGATGAAGATGTTTTATTAATTTGCTGGTGCTTTTTTCTATTTGCATGTGTTTTCTTAAAGGGTTAGTTCACCCAAAAATGAAAATTAGGCTGCGTTTTACTCACCCCCGAGGCATTCTAGGTGTATATGACTTTCTTCTTTCAGACGAATCCAGCCGGAGTTATATTAAACATTGTCTTTGATCTTTCAAGCTGTTTAATGGCACTCAGCGGGTGTTGCATTGCTTCAGTCATTCCGGGGGAATGACGTATGAGGTCGGCTTTGCGCATGCGCCGCTCAGAAGTGACGCACGCGGAAACGCAGCGGAGAGATCAAAACAACGGTCAAGAATTAGAAGTACAAAACGAGGATTTGTAGAGAAGAATGTCAGAGGATTTCGATATAAGCCAAGAGGAGACTGGTTTTCCTTTGCTAAAGTAAGGAAACTTTGCTTCCTTTGACCTAATTTTCATTTTTGGGTGAACTAACCCTTTAAATTGCAGCGCACTGAGATCTCTCGGCCACTGTAAATATGACTCTAGATGTTGTGTTTTTTATTCCATTTACTGCCTGCTTTTCGCAGTTTGATGTGTTAATTGTGGCAAAAGGCATAACTTACTATATAATGAGACTAGTTTACATTGAAAGGTGTGTTTCTGCTAAATAGAATGACATTTAATTTAAAAACAGTGCTGCTGACAGAGAACCTGGTTAAATCAAGGTTAATTAGTTAATAAAACACATTTTTTTTGCTTTAAAACTTACGCATATAAAATTTGCGAAACTGTGTAGTGAATACATCCCACAATGAGACTGTATTGCAGTAATGGATGTTTTTCCTAGGGAAGTCTCCAGATATGCTTCCTTCATCTCAATAGAATTGAATTACCATCAAACAAGATACATGAAAAATTACCACGCCAACATCAGATCTGCCCCCAGCTGAAAAAACAACAAAAACAAAATTATATCATCAACTTACAGATGATTTAGTTTAACTATTTGAAGGGTCAGGTTGATTTTAAATACTATAAAGACAAATCTGATTAGTCGTGATTAAAAACAGGCTGCTTGACCCTTAATTGTCTGTAATTTGAAGGCAAATGACTGTTTTCTTGCACAATGGATGAATACATTAGCCCTCACATCTGTTTGGGAATCCTCCTGCCTGGGCGATGAGACATTATTTCATGAAAACATTAAAGATACAAATGTGGCAGGCAATATGTCTATCTTGAAATGCAGTGTTTTCAAAAACATTGCTTTTCAAGTTTAATTTACTTTGCTCATTTGGTTGTGTTGTGCACATCGTAATGGGATTTGGTTGGTTTTATGTTCATATGTATTATATTTTGAAGTCTTTATACAGATTTTGTTTTGAAGATATGTTCAAGCTTTTTGTTATTAGCCCAGTATCCGAATATGCCTACTTCCCCACTACATACTATGTCAAAAGCAGTACAAATGAGACCCGGATGACCAGCTATGATTGTTTATTGTTCCACGTGTTTTGTTTAATATCAATAAATCTCCATTAATGGCATTTGCCTCTGCTGTATCCACAACAATGTGGCAACAAACAAAAACGCTAAGCCTTGGAGAGTGAAAGTATGTAAAATCAATCTAAAGATAACAACCAAGAGCCGGTCTCCTGTTCTCGCATAGCATCTGCTCTCTGATTAAACTCCTCATCTGCCATTGAAGTCGAGGAATGAAGAAGGTCAACTCCAGGGAGAGCAGGCAGAGCGCGATGGATCCTGCCCCCAGGGCAGATGCTGCCGGTGGGGATAAAGCCACAGTCTCAGTCTGCTGCACCTGATAATCACTGTCTCAGCCAGTGTTTGTTGAAAGGCAGGGAAAGGGAAGAAGGGTTGGCTCTGACCTGTCAATGATGGCACATATGTCCAAGCTGACGTTCTCGAAGGCTCCCATCCTTCCCTGCTCCACTGCGGTGAGGTCAGCCAGCTGATCGTCCACTTGAATGAGCTGCATGCAGCCCTGGAACGAGCGCTGGATGGGAGATGCTCTGGTTCTTAAAAAATAACCTAAACAAACAAAACACACAGCAAAGATGTTATGTGCCAAAAAGAGATACTGTATGTTATGACCATAATGACATAGTATTTGATTATTAAAGCTTAAAGGGATAGTTCACCTAAAAATGAAACATTCTGTTATTAATTACTCACCCTAATTTTATGAAGCTGAGAATACTTTTTTTTTGTGCGGAAAAAAAAACTATTTTATTCAACAAGCTTCATAATATTACGGTAGAACCACTGATGTAACATGGACTATTTTAATGATGTCCTTACTACCTTTCTGGGCCTTGAACGTGTCAGTTGCATTGCTGTCTATGCAGGGTCAGAAAGCTCTCGGATTTCATCAAAAATATCTTAATTTGTGTTCTGAAGATGAACGAAGGTCTTACGGATTTGGAACGACATGAGGGTGAGTAATTAATGACAGAATTTAAATTTTTGTGTGAAAAAGCACAAGAAAAAAGCATCTGTAAGATTTGGCATCTGTAAGATTTTTAAATGTTTTTGAAAGAAGTCTCTTATGCTTAGCAAGGCTTACCAATTTATTTGATTAAAAACAGTAAAAACATTATATTGTAAAATATTAATTAATAATTAATTTTCAATGCGATTTAAAAAAACTTTTCAAGTTTAATATATTTTAAAATATAATTTATTCCTATGATGACAATGCTGAAGTGACATATGATCCTTCAGAAATCTTTCTAACATGCAGATTTGGTGCTTAATATTTTTTTTTGGGGGGGGGGACTGTAGAGTTTTATTTTTATTTTTCACGATCTTTCAAAAAACAACATTTATTTGAAATAGTAATCTTAATATGTTAGATGTTTTTACTATCACTTTTGATCAATTTAATGCATCCTTATAAAGTAATAGCATTGATTTCTTCCACATTCTTTTCTTTCAACTTTATTTAACAATTTTTTAATTAAATACAGTTATAATTATTTAAAAAATACACTGTCATATTTTGAAGACACACTGTAAAATAAAATAAAAATTAAAATACTAAAATAAAAACATGAGCTTATAATGAGGGCCTGTGTATATTCAATATTGACCGATTTTGATATACTAAAATCTCTCTAACTGTGGCCAGTAATCAACATATGTTATAGTAATCAACGTATGTTATATAATGACCTCTGATATTAACCGCAACTCAACATAATTTCTAAAAATAATCCTGTCCAAATAATGCTTTAATTATAACTGACCTGTGCTGGAGAGCTCCTGAAATAACCACTATGAGTGAGACACTTAACCTCATACAGTAGGATTGAGATTTGTGTACTGCATCGCTCTGGATAAAAAAAAGGTAAAACTAAATTAAACACAAAAATAAAGTCACTGAGTGTGATCTAATGTCATATGTGTGAAAGGTAACCTAATGTCACATGTGTAAAATCTGAACGTAAGGACCATTAACTGGATAAAAACCTATCAACCTAACCTCATTCACCAAGTGATAGTTTTGACACCAAAAAAGGTCAAGCACATCGCAAACAATCAGCTAACTTTGATGCTACTAATGAGATAAAAACACCTAAAAATACCGAACAAACCCAGATTAGACGGATTTCTTCACACGGACCGCTGATATTCCTGGGAGAACATGCGGAACTTAGACCCCAATGATCTGGAGAATCCTCAGGGTTGGTTACGCTTGCATTAGAGGTAAACAAAGCTTTCCATGATGCTGATCACAGGAAGGTCTATTGAGATTCACCTTGCAGCCCCCTGACATTAATCTACAAACGAGAGCATCTGGAAGCATCAGTGTTTGCAAGGAGCTCGCTTAAAAAATAAAATAAGAGAGAGAAAAGACAAAAACAAAAGTTCCTCAAGTTTGCTGGGCCATCTGTCTTGTCTGCTTCCTGCACCTGTCCAGGAGTCTATATGCCTGAGCAGTCAACAGAGGAGGATGAGGAAGGTGGGCTATTGGAAGACACGCTGAGGGAAATGCATCTCACTACAGAGGAAAACAAGAAAAAACGCGCATCTGCTGACAAATTAAGGCAGGGCTGCGGTGGCATCTCAATGATCGCCAGGATTTGTGGGGATCTGGAAAGCCGCCAGGATCTGTGATCAACAAGGGACGTGGGAAAAGGCAGGTTTTCGTCACCCACGCTCGGATGCGACTTCCCGGTGACTGCTTTTGTCCCATTCTGCTGTCGTAATTAATTGAGGAGAGTCACTTTTCTGACAAGATAACACTCTAAATTACGGCTGAGGCCCACAACTCACACTCCTGACTGGGTTTCTGAGTAGCTTCCGCATGACTGTGTTTACGTGCTGCTGATGATTTTGCAGGGATTGGAGAATAACTACTGTAAGATTAATGAGCGTCTATGGGCTTCATGTATTATTCATGAACGGCAAATGGAATATGGAAGATTCCTGTGGGAAGCCCTTGTTGTAAACTTTTATTCTCATCAATAAACCTGGTGCAGATGTTAACTATTTTTGTTTATTCTGCATTGGCAAGTTCATAATGATATAAAAGTGTATCCAACAATAATTGACAGGAGATATTATGAAATGTGCAATCAAATTGCGAGTAAAACAACCATTTTTCCTAAAGCCGGGCTCACACTACAGGATTGAAAGACTAGCCGAATCACTGTGTTGCTCACACTACGCAACAAGATTTGTTCTCATCTGTCGTCTTCTTGTCATAGCTGTGCGCATACTACACAACACAACGCTAACGAGGTGCACACACTACAAAACATTCAGTGAGGAGGCGTTCCCGACCATCAGTGAAAATACGTTTTCTCACATAAATTCTCACAAGAAATTACAGCGATTATAGGCCATATCTTCAAGCATGGACGATCAACTGGGCCTTCAATTGGTCTGTGCAGTTATTTTGTCCGAAAGAAAGAAGAAACCACGACAAAAGAGAATATGGCAGAAACAATGGCTTGGAAGACGTGGACAACAAGGACTGTCAGTACTGCAGAAAGAGTCGGAGGTAATTCAACAGTAAAATGAAACGTGGTATTATATACACAATCTATGCATTTGTTAAATTTATTTCTAGTTAGTTGATTTGATTAATTTGTGGCTTTTCGTGTCTTTTCATAAAGATGCATGATAAGAGTGTTTATACCATCTGCACTGTGATTGGCTAGATTAGTTCCACCTTGTCATTGTGTCGCTCACATTACGAGATCACGTGGCGATAATATCAAACAGGTTTGAAAATATCGTAGCGTCTGTGATAGTTCGGATCACGTTGCTGACCTGCTCATACTTAACGATTTGGTCACGATCCGGGGGTTTTGTCGCAGACTGTGGAAATCTGACTGCGACAGCAAAATACAGCCAAAAATCCTGTAGTGTGAGCCCGGCTTAAAGTGATGCAGATGAAGTCTCAGAAGGACTGAGAAAATTATATAAAAAGGGCAAACAAACAAATGTTTGGATTCAGTTAATTTTGATAGATTTTTTATAATGCTAAAATGCATAAATCTTAGAAGAAAAAAAAAAACAGACTGTTTTTGAGTGTATTAAAAATAATAGCCAAAAAGTCAGCAGTACTGTACCAAATAAAAGCTCCACTACATGCCATATACTGTTTCAGAAAATCATTTGAGAGTCCCTTTTCTTTATTCCACTCTATTAGAAAGTAATCAAAACAAAAGCTGACCTCCTACAGGTTGATGGGTATTTTAAAGTCCTAATCTGCAGCACAAGAACTCTACGGCCCTTCTATGTTTAATGCTGTCTTCTTTATTACAAAATCCAATCTACTGCCATCTCCCATCAGACAGTCATTAATTCGGTGAGGTCTGCCACAAATGTGCAGAACCATCCTCTGTAAAATGGGTTTGGGAGACTACATCTAACCAGAGAGAATGTCGGGAGACAAGCAGTCCCTTTCTTGGAAAAACAAAGAGCTATTCTCGCTGTTCCACTGCAGACAGCTAAATACATATGAGAGCTCTTTTGGAGACATCGGAGACTGATGGAAATTTTTTTGTTTGCTAGGATATTCCATTAGGGCTTAAGCGATCAAACATGTGCTAAAGCTAATTATGTTTTGTTCGCAAAAGTCCAAGATGAGCATCTTGGGCTCTTTGCCACATAAGGAAGAGGCAAAACTTTTTAAATTATGAATGGGATACGTTGCAGTATTCACTGAACAGGTTTCATTAGAGACTTTTTTAAAATATTGTCACAAAAATATAATTATTTTCATTAAAAATGTATGGTGAAACATAATATGTGCAAAAAGGTTTTGTTTAAATGTAATTTAAAAGCATGTAAATATAGGCAGTTAGCAGAGCAAAAGGGATTGTTCACCCAAAAAAGAAAATTATTTTCTTTCTAATGTAAACACAAATCGGACCCCACTGATATCAAATAAACAATAACATTGGGGTGATTGAAGTATTTTCATTTTTGGTGCGCTAGACTTTTTTTTGCTCCATAACAATGGGGATTTTTACCTCAAATATAAATTTTGAGGCAAGGCAATTTATTCATATAGCACGATCAATTTTAATTATTTCACAGTTCAGTGTTGTTATGGTTAAATAAAACTGTTAAAATACTTTTTTTTTTGGTAATTGAAAAAAGCAACACAATAAAATCAAATGAATTAATTAAAATTAAAATTAAGGAAATTAAATAAAATCTGAATATTAGCATAGAACTTTAAAATATAAAAAAGTAGAAATGTTGAAGACAAAATCTGAACCCTATACAATATTATATCTATATATCTCATGTATTAAATTTGGGCCTTACAATGTTCTGAGCACACATATCAAAGCTCTCGCAATACTTGTCTGAAACAAACACTGTTTTTAAATTTTTTTTCTTTTTTTCAACAGCATGTCTAACCTCAGGAAGGCAGGGAAATGCCAGGAGTTGTGGAAACACAATGTGCATGAGGCCAGTCTGTCTTTCCCTGTAATGAGGATCTGAATCAGGCATAGAACTGTTACCGGAGGCTTATCTTGCACAAACACACATGACTGTCTTTGTTCTTTAGAGTCATTATCTCAAGGCTGATAACAGTAATAACCCACTGGTAGGGTTCACTTTCCAATCTGCACATTGCAAAATTCAAACTTTTTATTGTATTTATCTATTTATTTCAAGGTAAACTAGTATTCTGTTAGAGAAAGCAGTGATAAAATATTACCTACATCAGATTGGATGCCAAACAATAGCATAAATAGCATTACCAGCTGCATGAAAAATATCCTACAACCCCTTTTGATCTATTTAAACTGTCTCCTAAACAGAGATAAAGCCAGTTCCAAGATTTAATGTGTACATTTACACTGATTTTAAGCTGAGAAGCCATCATAGTCTTTGTACTAAGCTGACATCCGAGAAACTGATGCTCACTCATACAATCAACCAGATAAACAGGCATCATTCCATGCATAGAAATAAAATAGATTGTTATGCTCTTGCAGTCTGCCAACACGTGCATGTGTGTTCGCATTGATGCAATGCACTACAGCTGTCTGAGTAAGGTGAATGGGAACATACAGTATTAGCTGCCTCCAGTAACCTAATCTGGTCCTGCATATTTTTTGTAGATGACCTTGCCATCGCTAGCACAGTCTGATCAGAGCCAAGCCTTTGATGATTTTACCACAACAAATTTAATGTGCCCAGTTCCATGCTCTACAATTAGCTTCCATGCATAAGCAGCCTCAATTACCAGTGTTCATGCTGGTGGTTTCTAGATAAACAAGAAATCTAGTGGGGAGCTGTAGTTCATCCAAAAATTGAAAATTTGCTGAGAATGGACTCCCCAGCAGGCCATCCAAGATCATCAGAGCAGATCTGGAGAAATTTTGCATTACATCACTTGCTCACCAATAGATCCTCTGCAGTAAATGGGTGCCATCAGAATGAGAGTCCAAACCAATGATAAAAGTGTCACAATAATCCACAAGTCATCCACATGGCGCCAGTCAATCAGTTTTGTTTAGAACAGTTTTGGACTGTTATCACATATAAACAATACTTGATCTGTACATATTTATCTCCTGATTCAGACAAGATGACTTTTAATAGAGGACTTTTATTTTAAGCAATGCTTTTAAGTTTAAAAAAATGTCTGTTTACTACAAACAACCAGCTTTTCACTTCACAAGATGTTAATTGACAAACTGGAGTCTTGTGGATTACTTGTGGATTATTATAATGTTTTCATTAGCTTGTTTGGACTCTTATTCTGATGGCACCCATTCACTGCAGAGGATCCATTGGTGATCAAGTGATGTGATGCTAAATTTCTCCAAATCTTTTTTAAAGAAGAAACAAACTCATCTACATCTTGGATGGCATGAGGGTGAGTACATTTTCAGCAAATTTTCATTTTTTGGGTGAACCATTCTTTTAAAGATCTGTATTTATATGCATTTGGCAAGAAGGGGAAATCCTAAGGCCCTGATATATACATCAAGCAGAATCAAAGAATGAACATGCTGTGATGTCGTTTTGAACCAAATTAAGGCAAAATAGAGATAATAGTTTTGGGTATTTAAAACATCTTGCCAGAACGATCTTTTTGGCTGGTAAACACCTTTAAACTTCCATTGGTCTGTGGTGATTATGTAATAGGTAGATGTGGCTATGTGGCTCCGCCTTCTTTGACATGGGAATCTTCTCCGGTTTCATTTATTGTTTAGTCTGTTGAGGTCCAACGTGAGTAATAATGCAAACACGGACAGCTGCTTTATAGTAGTAAGTGAAGTTGTAATTCTAACTGAAAGCAACACTGATACTTTTTCATGTTTAATACTGTAAAGCTACTTGTCATTTATAACAATCTATTATATTATACGGCTATATGTGACTTAACTGGAGTGCGAAACTGCAGCATTGTTATAACATATCCACATCGCTATGATCAGATGCTTTCTTAAATGTTGTTTTCTCACCGCTGTAATTTTTAATTGTGTATTTATTTCATTATTGAGAGGAACGTGTGCAGCACATATTAACAGATTCATCCAAATGCCGCTCCCAGCAACGTTGGATGTTAGCTAACAGTATTCCACTGCTCAGGTATTTCAAACTTTGCTTAACCCTTAATCAAAGAAATAAAAAGAACTTTGCCGTAAGTATATTGGGGCCTTTAAACTAACACCATAGTGCCCAAGAGCAAGATAAATAGTTTCAGTCACTGCAGTAAAACTGTACTGTAATTTGCTCATTTAATGCTTAGATATAAAAGTGTCCTCTAACTGAAAAATTACCTTATTTTTATAATAATCATCTAAATAAAGAATACACTTTATAATAACCATTCATGAACTTGCTAGGGAGCAACAAGACTTTTCTGAGAGCCAACAAAGCTGCCAAAACTATACTGCTATACAAATCATTTAAAGAAAAGCCAATTAAAGCCACAGAGAGGTTAGTTTATTAATTGAATATTTTGTTTAATAAAACATATTGCTTAATATTAGTGCAGACCATATGCACACACAAATGGATAGCACAGATTTTGTTTGTTTACTTGTACAATTTGCTGAAAAGCATGCAAAAGCAAAAAACATTAGCTACTCTACTCTAAGTGTCAAAAAAGTTAAATATGAAATCAGATCGCTTAGACCAAAGATTTTCAAACATGGGCCCATGAACCCCTAATGGAAAACAAGATGTTTGAGGATCCATAGAAATTTTTAGAAAAAAAAAAAGTCTACACAAAATGTATGTTTTAGGGATGAGAAATTAAAAATATTAACTTAAGACATCAATTAAATATGTTTAATACAATATTTTAATAAATTTACCAAATTTGATTACAGTTCATTTCTAAAGACAAAATTGTTTAAACTGAAATAGAGTCAAAAATGTTTACGCACCTAATATTACTCTAATAATGGCCAGAATGTAATGAAATTTAATACAAAGTAACGTAAAAATATATATTTAAAGAATCTTCTTTGGCTTTAGTATAGTGACAATATAAAAGCCATTTATTTTACTTTGGAAACAAACAAATGAAGAAACAATATATACATAGCTATATAATATATTCATTTATTTAAATTAAGTCATATGAAAATCATTTTTGTATATCAGTTTTAATCACTAAGTAAATACTTTAATACTTTAGCCAACCCCCCCCCCCATGGTTTGACAGTTTGACAGAAAACAGTGCATTAGTTACATTCACTTATATGTTTTAATCTGGGTTTTACAGTCATTCCCAATGTTAACGTTCTTTGACATACTCATATTCTGCCATATGGAGGCCTTTCTATGCTAAAAAAACGATCCAATCAGCAGTAAACAAATCAGACAGTGCAGACACATCTCTCTAGAAAATAACAGTGACGGATGGAGAAGCATGATTGATAATTATAGTTAGTGTGCAGGTGAACCAACAGCAGCGCAGTGAGGAGAAGTGAAGCTTTTTGATCTCATTTTAGAGGCTGTCAAGTGTAAATGTGCTGCCAGGCCGTGCCAGACCCAGAGCGAAGGGACTGCAGTTCCTACCTCATTTAGCTGTTTTTGAAGATGTGTGAGTCTGATCAAGCTATCAGCCATGCTATCCCTCAGCCTCAATAAACAGGCAGGTTGATAGCGCCAGACACTGCTGTCTATCTCAGCTGCCGCTCTTCCTTTGCATACTTGCCTCTCTGAGCCACTGAACATGCTCTTATCTCTGACTTCCTGCCAGTGGTCCGATCGGACAGATGGCTGGCTGAAGAGGGCACCGGGGTGGGTTCGTTTCCATCAAAGGAGGAAAATGAATGCGTGTGGGGTGGCACATGCAACTTTGGATCGAAAACTTAAAGGGGTCATATGATGTGATTTCAAGTTTTCATTTTTCTTTGGAGTGTTACAAGCTGTTCGTGAATAGATAAGATCCCTAAAGTTGCAAAGACTAAAGTCTCAAACCCAAAGAGATATTATATATAAAAGTTAAGACTTGTCCACGCCCTCCTAAAATGCCTCGTTTAAACACGCCCCCACATGTCTATGTCACTGTGTGGAAAGATTTGCACAACACCGCCCAAATGTATACGCAAACCCAATGGCAAAATGCGAGGACGGGAGGTCACAGCGCCCTCCCACTCTTTCAGAAGGAGAACAAGTTCTGTTTGTCTCTTCAGACAATTTGATGAAGGCAAAATTACTCCTGACATGTTTTTGGCACTTTTCAGAACCTCTGATCCAAATACATCAAGCTGATGTCTTTGGACTGAGGAAAATCATGACAACTGATTTTCAACTGAGCTTTCAACAACTATACAAGATTTTTTTGACCATCTTCTTCTGGCAGGTTGGTTGCATACCATGACTTGGATTTGTTGGGAAACTGGAGTAAAAATTCAGCTTTGTCATCAAAGGAATAAATATATTAAAATATAAAACAGTTATTTTAAATTGCAATAAACTACAAATACAATATCTTGATTTTCTCACTATCTTCCAACTCAAGAACGCAAACTTTTTGAAGGCTTTGCCATCAGGCTTAGATGCTCTAACTCACATTTTACTTTTATCTCCTTTGCATTGTGAGGCCCAATGTTTTTCCTAGAAGACGTCGTTATGGTTTTAAGTGAATTCTAAATAAGTAATATCTGTGATAAATGTTTTATTCATTTTTACATCAAAAATGTACTGACATTTTGCCTTGACACTCCGGTCCTCATGAGAGTTAAAAGACAATGGAGGACGTTCACACTAATCTGGGCAGCCAATTATTTCTTCTTTTAAGCAGACCATCCCTTTGTTAATTTTCTTTCGTTTTCCAAATTAAGCGAGATAAAACATAAAAGCATATCAGCATTAATGCCCATCCTGATTTCTTTAAAGGGGTGTTTTTATGCATGCATAGTGAAGAAAGTTCTCAAATCCTTTCTAGTGCTGGTCTCTCAGCAGACAAAATTCAAAGGCCTTTGTAAGTCAGTGGCCAATGCACCAGGGCGAGTGAGAAGATCTGAGGATCTATTCTCATGGTACTCAGTTTTGGGCTCTGTACATTTCTGAACTTGCCTCCAAAGTGGTACGTGCTTCCTGTTGTGATCTGGACAGGCGAGGTGGTTCTCACTGCTGATGCTTCATCCCCATCAATGGTCAGCATGGCAAAATTCTCTTTAGCCAGGAAACGAACATCATGCCATTCTCCATCATTCAGACCAGAACCTATAAAAAAGATGGAAAACTATTGATTAACATCCAAAACAACGCTGCAACCTTTTCACTGCTGAATCTGTCAAGTAAAAATGTGTACTTACCTTACACCTTGAATACATGTGATCTTAATTATTATGGAAAAATCACAGAATAAACATATTTCTCAAGTTAAAAAGTATATTTCAACAAATATCATGAATTCTTAAATCATATCATACAACATTATTTTGGGTAGTCACACTACATGACATTTTGCAACCTAAACTTGTCCTAAAAAAGTTAAATTATCTTATATTTTAAGAGTAATTAATCTTGATAAATAATTATGGGTTCTCTCTCTGTTATACTTTCCTGTTGTTGTTGTTTTCCTCTTGTTTCTAACACAGTAGTCATGCCAAATGACTTTTATTTAGTGCACAGATGTTTTTCAAATATTAAACTTTAATAATATTTTAGAATATGTTTTTTAACTGTAGTTTTGATCAAATAAATGCAGCATTGGTGAGCAGAGACTTCTTTCAAACAAAAATTTTTCAAACTTTATATTTTAAAAAATACCAATAACATATTTATGTCTTAATTAGGTTTTCTATGCTAAAATATTTTAATGAAGCTTTCTACTTTAACATTATATCAGGAAAATTTTCTCACCTTGACTTTCTGCCTACAATCAATCAATCAATCAATCAATGAAAAAATCCTAAATTAAAAACATAATTAAAGAGGTGTATTCAAGTCAATGTACGCATGAATTGCATTTTCAATTAATTATCAAATAAAAAAAAGAGAGTCACTGACCCACATACAAACATATACTGAACAGGATTTTACATCTGGAATTCAAATGCAATCTGCAATAGGCTGCTGATGATAAAAAGACAAGTCTAAAAGTCTACACCGAGGGCAGATTCAGGACGACAGGGGTTCAGGTTAACAAACCCACAGCAGCTGTTGATTTGACAGCTCTGATTGATAAATCAGAAAGGTATTATTTACTCTGATGCCATAGTGAAGGGCAAAAGTCATCAGAACATAATAACCAGGTTGATGGTAGCTTAGAGCAATGAATTCCTTTCCACCATTAATCATGCACTGGTGGAAAGACATTAGCTCATTGGAGGTCCCCAGTGGCCACTTTACCTCTATCTGTCACACACCACAAAACACTGAACAACTGTTCTCTCCTTCCTGACCGCTCTCACTCTCAGGCACAGTCCACTTGGCACGAACAAGGCCAAAGTACCTTACACGCCATTACCTCTGATAAATTTGTCTCTCAGAAGTTGCTGGTGATACGAAGGGACAGCGCTTTCTGCCATTTACTAGTATGTCATCCATCAGTTTCCCTCAAACTCTGTACATTTTGTGCTTGCGTAGGTGTATGAAGCGAACGGTGCAGCAGACATGCCTGCCACGAGCTGCTCTGTGGGACAGTTGGACAAACAGATGGCTTTTGTGTACAAGATAAATTACGTGAAGTGTCCTGATATGACAACACAACATCAAACGAGTGTCAGTGACATCTGAGATTTGGGTGTACAAAGCTGATGAGATTAACGTGTGAGTTGGGTCTGATTATTTCAGGATGCCCTGAAAAAAAAAACAGCCTTTTTAAGCTGGTTTAGTTCTTATATAACCAGTTTCATGATGGTCAAACACATCTATCTTCAGCAATAACCAACTTGTGCCAGTAACAGACTAGAATTGGTCAACTAAAACTAGTTTAAACTGAAGTTTAAACAATATATTGCAATACATAAAAAAGCAAATAAGCACGTAGTCTGATACACAAACAAATGGCTGATTTGAACTAGTTCTTTTGAATCATTCAAGAGACTCACCAACTCAGAAGTTACTGGTCTGAATCAGTCTGACGAGTGATCAAATGCATTTATTTATAATAAAATCAGCTAAAAGAAGTAGCAGATTAATATACAGAAATCTGACCTAAAAAAGCCAAATTAAGAGAACTCTAATAAATGAAAGCATTTTTCCCTTTTCTGTCCCACGTTTTTGGGACACATTTTGGACAGAAGCAAATGATAATATGAACAGTATATATATTATACATTCTAATGAATCAGTTTAATAATGAGAGGAGCCTGTATGTTTTCTGCCTCCTCTACCATTTGTGTAGTAATTAAAACTATCACAAGCTCTTGTTTGAAGGAAATATGAATAAATATATACTTTTTTTTTACGTTATGCATCTGAGTTTTGCCCATTGGTGAGTAAATTAATTAAAACATAAGTTAATTTGATCAGATTCTTTGTTACTTATCTCTAAAGACAGAAGTTTCATTGGTTGCCTTATAGTTATAACTGATTATAACTATAAAACAAAATTAATCAAATTTATGAATTGTCTATAATAATTGTGCGTTTTTTTATATACATTCACAAAGAATGTATTAAAATTTAAATGAATAATCATCAAAATATGTCAATATGATCTCTAAATTTAAACCTTTTGTATTAGCAATGCTTTAAAGTTTGAAAATACTCATTAATTTTGATTAATTTCTCAGAAAACAAGACATATGTTTAATGTTCAAGCAAATGTATCTTGTTTTCAGGATGTTAAGGTATTGGAAAACAAAATAAAATACTGAACAAGATACTTTTTTTTTTTTTGCAGTACATGCAACATTTATTGCAATGACTATGAATTTAAGACTTTCTGCTTGATTTAAGACTTTTTAGGCCCTAATTTGTGGAAGAGTGAATTAAGACTTTTTAAGCCCCACAGAAACCCTGTAAATGTTGTGATTAAAAGAATTGACTTATATCACCTGCCCCAAATACCAGAAAAACACATAGACACACACACACAAAAAAGTTGTATAAAAATTCTCTCAGTGCACACATAATACACTCAAATGCGCTCTAATTAGGTCAGAAAGGTGGATCAGGGGGCACAGTCTTGATGTACATCTCCACAGCATCACTATGTCCAGCCTTTTTGCAACTTTCCTAATTACATTACATCAGTGTGAGAGGGCAGCACCCCTGCATGTCCTCATGAGAGACCCTGCAGTCGCTACCCACCGTCACATATTAATTAACACAATGTGGGTCCCTTGAACTCTGACAGATCAACCTACAGTCATTACTTTCCACCTGCTTAATCAGCTTTCCCATGATAACCTTCAGCTCCTCAGGATCACACACATACAACATGGTCGCTCTCTTCCAACATGATTGTACTCCACTGAAAGAATAAGAGACACTCATAGACAACACCGCCCAAACAGATTTTGATAAATGTCTGGTGGATTCCAGCCGCACAAAACCATTAAAGTGTGAATGACATTTGAAGGACTCGGTGCCCTTTAAAAAGCAGGTGCATCTTCATATGGGGTTCAAAGGTAGAGATGCAATTACAGGGATGCACAGCCTCCAGCTCTATTTGTCATCATGGTAAGTCTGATATTTGAGTACGGCCTGCAAAAGGCTCTCTGCAACTCAAGCCAAGAAGCCCCAGATGCAATAATGTCATCAAAAAGGATTGCTGGAAAAGTTTCCGCTTCCTCACTACTCAGAGGTTCACAGACACCAAGCCATGATTAATGTTAGGCTTTGCCAGGAAAGAGTGCTCTTGGGAGAGCAGGAACTTCAAGCTTCAGCTTTTCCATGAATATGTTTTTGATAGCGGAGTGTCTGAAATTGTCTTAGAAGCTCCTTTTTTAAACATGAAGAGAGAGGTGCTGAAATATGTATCATGCCTCCTCTGGTCACCCCACAGAAGAATATTAATGACTTATCCAAGGGAGGTCTTGGTTATGTGACCAATTCAGATTGTCTATGAATGTCACAGGCAAAATCGTTGGAGGAAGTTCAGTAAGAATGAGTGATGCACCAATTTTGCATAGTGTCTGATTCACTGATGGACTTATTCAAATGAGGTACTGGTAAAACCGCAATAGAAAGTGCACACAAACTGCGCTTTCAATGAGTCTTGTGAATAAGGTACAATATATTGAGCCAAAATTATGGAGGCATGTTTGTGCCAAAAATAAAGACAATTACTTAACTTCACTACACACAGAACAATTTCATCACATGTAGTACCTGGTTAAACTACTTTGTGGATGGTTAATAAATAAGAAATTTTTCTGCATGCAAAAGTAATACTGCTCTTTAATGAAAGTTTTTTTCTTTTCATTTGATGTGTTATAGAAATTAGGTGATCTGTAAACCTTTCAAAATGCTTTGAGACAAAAATACACAACTGTTCAAAAGTTTTGGTAAGTTTTTAAAATGTTTTTGCTTATGTTCACCAAGGGCAAAAATTATAGTACAAAACAGTAATACTGTAAAATATTATTACAATTTAAAATAACTTTTCTGTTTTAATATATTTTTAAAAATTTATTTATTTCAGTGATGACAAATTTTTGAGCAGCCATTAATCCATTACACACCATTCAAAGTCACATCATCCTTCGGAAATCATTCTAATGTGCGGAATTGGTGCTCAAGAAACATTTCTTATTATTATCGATGTTAAAAGCAGTTGTGCTGCCTAAAGTTTTTTCAGAAGTTTTTTTTTTCAGAATTATTTGATGAATAGAAAGATGAAAAGAACAACATGTATTTGAAATATAATCTTTACTGTCACTTTCGATCAATTTAATGCATAATTGCTGAATAAAAGTATTAATTTCTTTCAAACAGCATTGAAAAAGTAAAATTGAATAGAATAATTGCCTGTAAGTTCCATAACTGGACTGTTATTATTATGACTCCAGAAAAGCCTTTTATTGACGCAAAACATTGGGCATACAAATTGTCTGTTTTGACAATGCACTGGCTATTTTGAGTGAAAACCCGCTGATATTTGTGTAAGCAGTGTTTAAGACCACATCCTGTTTAATTCATACCTCTAGGCTGACCTGGCACAAAGCTAGAGTTTGCTTTGTGTCTTGGCTTTGGCCTGTTGTAGAGTCCGTTTCTTGAGGCACAGCCTGTGGGCTCCGAGGGACGGAGCTCAGACTCGCCATTATTGT